TCCTTTTCTATTACATGGCTCTTTTTTTGTGTCACGTAGAAATGTGTAGCATGTCATCTTGAATAATTTGTTCATAAAGACGAAAGCATTTTTGATCAAATATTTCGTCTAATTCTTGTTAACGGTCATATACTGAATATTTCTCTGAATAAGTACAAGATATATTCAATTGTATTGAATCTAGACGAATGAAGTGATTAATCTAATAATTTGAGTTTATGATGATGGGTAAACCGGTTTTGAACAATTTGACTTTACATTATCTTGTACTTCGATATGGCGCAAGCATGATAAGATTTGATTTGTATTGATAGAATCATAATATTTGATGAGTATATTGCCATTCCATCGTATTATACTTCATAAGTTGATGTGAATACAAACAAAAGAGATTTCATTTGTAGACATTGGTTCTTTATAATTCATCTTCACAATTCTGCCTCTGTTAAAGGATTGTATTTGTTGATCTCGTTAATGAAAATCCATATTTGATGTCATTATTCTAATATTTTCTGCTTGGCCTTGTTTATATGCGATTATGATCTTTTGTTTTTGTAAAAAAAAAGGGATCAAGAACTTGATGAAACCTTTGCAACCTAATTCCATAGACGGAAATCCCAAACACGTGAAAGACATTTATCTTCGTCGTTGTTTTTGTTAAGATATATTTGTCATGTATCTATTGTTGTCTTTCAGTAAGAAGAGTTGCCAGACCTACTCTTTCTAGTTCAATTAATAATCGTATTTCATCGAAGCGAACGAAAACACAACTACTTGTGCAGCGATCATAGTAAATTTGACATGTTATTGTAGGGAATTTTTCTTTTGGTCTTTGTGTTCCCGTCATGACAAATAAAACTTTCTTTACGTAACGTAATTCTACATTATTGACTGGTTTTAATATTTAATTAATTTGAACAATAAAAAGAATAAGAAATAAAGGAAATGAATATTAATAGTCAATTGTCTATAAACAATATATGTAATAGTAATATATTGTTTTTTCATGTTCCTTTAAAGTATAAAGTGAACAATTTGGTTAGAGGAAATCATTTTTGTTGTACGTTGATTGAAGATTTTCAATGAAACCGAAAGAAAAAACGAATTTCATCGCACATATTTAAAAAAAAGCCAATTGGCCAATAGCAAAACAATATAAACAAAGTCAACACAGAGTCTGTCGGACAATAGAATTCTCGAATAAATTATCTATTGAATAAAAATCTAAAAGATATGGTACAATGTGAAAAATATATGAAGCTATATAAGCACACCTTCATACCTAAATCAAAATGATAATGTGCATACAGTTAAAATGCTTGTTACACACAGTTTTATCAATAGAGCGAGAGATAAAATGATAATGTTCTCATATTAAGTTGTTTCAGATTCATACTATTCTACTAATAATAGAAAATGATAAACTCAACATTTGTATGCCTGTTATTTTTCATTGAACTTTCTTACGAACTAAATAATAGAATTGGGGAGAAGGTCTCAAAAAAGACGAGACACTAAAGTTGTATGCATTGGTTTTTATGGTTTATTCATTTAGGGATGGAACATTAGAAATAATTTTTATCGTAACTTTAGCAAAAACAAAATTCAACAAACAGCACATAATAAATGTAATACTTATCGACATTGTAGCAGTTGAAAATCAATATAATTTATTCTTGCGTTATTAGCTGTATAAGATATCTTCGACTCACGATAGCATATTTGAATGATTGCTAAAAACTAACTCTAGATTATCAAACTATTGTTCATTCTGATAGTCAAACCGCTCTACGTACTATTCTAGTTCTAGTAAATTATATTCATTCAAGAAAGCTTAAATTTGATCTTTATTCAGATATAAGAATTAACACTTAGTTTTTACTGCCAAAGGTATTGAATACTGGATTTAAGACATGCACTGGATAATCTAGTACATTCGGCTATGGAATAAAAGATACTCATACGTAGGCATCTTACAATGCGATTTATTGGAATTATGATAAGTGCTATTAAAACAGAATAGTGTTAGAAAGAGATTATGCAATGTATATTAAATATTAGTCAACCACCAACCTTCTTTTCTATGTGTAGTATCTTCATCAGTTAGACATTTTTCTTCGTTTTTTTTTTCATGTTATATGTGTATAATGAGTTGATGAGATATTTGCACTATAAGTAGTCAAAAATTTGAAAAGTAGTTGATGAATTGCTAAAGATATTCGAGAAGGCTAAATTTAATCACGCTACATGGTGATAGTATATGACAATATTCCTTTTTTTTTTAATTTTTTTATATTTTTCTTCAGTTTTGGAAAAATAAATTTGCTGATAAAAATGATCTTGATCAAAAGGAATAAGATCTAAATAGTCAATAGATATCTCTTATTATCGAATTACATTTAATCATTCTATTTTTATATAGTACTTGAAGTTGGCTATGGCAGGATGACTGATGGTAAATTTGTCGAACACATTTCTCTTTCGGTTCTAAGTAGTGTGCCATTATTCACTGGATGTCATGTAATTAGGACGAGCGCAGTTACTTTATCTATTTTGACAAATCCGGAAGTAATTACTACTAATCAAGATTTATTAGGTATTTAAGAAAGAAAAAGCTTTTGCGTCAGTAGAACTATCAAATGTATGAAGTGAAGAAATTGTTATAAATTATATTGATTATCCATCTCAAAAATTGAAGGAAAAACATCATTAACAAATACATAATTGTCAAAATGAAACAATTCTGAATCAACAAATTAAGGACGATGTTTAAAAATTGAAAGTCGAAATACAGAAGAAGTTTCTGATATTGTTCTAAGTGAATATCATATTACTAATTTACAATGATAATATCAAAGTAAAAATTAAAATTGGACAATAAATATATTTATTCACGGTATTATATCACAATGGAATGGAAAAATGAATAGATGAAATTTTCATAGATTAGACTCGATATGAATCTTGAGGCATATAAATGTAATAAATAAAAATAGTATTCTTAGATATAGAACTCAGCCGATGAAGGACTTCAAAGTAAACATCATGGTTAATGTTCAACTATTGTTGGAAAACTCGAAAATTGATTTTTATTCAGTGATGACGTTGAAAATTACACTCAAGAAATAAATATTAGAAAAGAACAAAATTATACAAGCATATTAGAAAATGATAAAATGCAAAATTTTGTATTTTATCTTATATGCTTGATTTAAAACATGGCTGCCAACTTCAGACAGTTCGAATGGGGTACATATGAAGTACAATTTATTTTTGAGATCGGCTATACCCTCAGGGTACAGTCATTATTTCAAAAACCAAGTGCGTAGAATTGAAAATGTGACTGAAAAAGCCTAGTTACATGTCAGACAAATCCTATTATCATATTTTTTTTGTGCAAGAAATGGTCTATAACGTTGATTTATTTAATGGAAAAATAAGTTGACAATAATGCTATTTTACTCATCATGTTAACTATTAAAATCAAATGGCACAAGTCTTTTTATATGACTGTATTTTTTGTTTACTTCTTGTACATTTGATCATTTTTGATCGAGACTATACGAATATATAAAAATTTGTGCATTGAATTATTCAGTTTAATGGAATTTTTAATACAGCAGCACCTATGTCAATTATCATGAAATTTCAGCTTGGTGTTCATACATGATTCATATGCCTGAATAAGCTTTCAATAAATGCATTCGAATAGAAAATAAAATAAACAATTGTACTTCAATTAATTGCTATCATACAATCTGTATAGAACTTCTGAATACTTTCTCTTGACTTTCATAATTGTCTATATCTTTAAAAAATGAATGTTCGCAAAAACTAAGGTCGAGATCTAGATGTGTTTCTTAGTGTAAAAGTGAGAAATCAGTAAAACAGCACTAATTCACAAAATAGAAAAATTCATCGATTTTTTTATTAATTGTTGATTTAGGTTTATTCTAAATGGGACACAAAATGCGTATTCTGGGCTTACAGATTTTTGTCGAGTGTAAAATGTTAAAATGAGGCGTAGTTGACAACCATAGTTTAAAATCTTTTTAAAATTTTATATTAAATAAAGTAGATATATTAGATAAGTGATGTAGGTGATTTATGATATATATTCATGATTAAGTATTACTGTATACATATCTACAAAAGATTTAACACTGATACTTAAGACTTTGTTTTACCAATATAAAAAAAAAGAACAGAATTCAGTGAATAGTTAATTGATACCTCCTGACATTCGACTATAGATTGATTAAAAAAAGCATTGAACATTGTTGCAACTTATATTTCAAGACATTGTTTATCTACGTTGACTTCTTATTTCCATACAAATATAATGACCAACGATTATTTGTAACCAATTCTACATTTCTTTTTGTCTATGACATATATATCATGATTTTATCAATTTATAAAAAAAAAAAAGTAAAGAATATTTTCAAAATCAAACATCATATATGTAGTAAAAACTGATTCTAAGCTTTCGATCAACCATAAAGATAAACTGCATATAAGAAGTTATTTCTAACTGCATGCATGGCCCAAAGACAAAGATGATCGATATTTTTTCGATTGTTTCTATTTCATGTAAATGATCGTTTATTAAGGTAATGAACTTTACGTAATACGTTTTAAAATTCTCCAACATTGAACATCTGTCATTTCTTTTTGCCTTAAAATACTATTTATTATTGTCTCCAGAAAAAGTATTTTTCTAGCAATGGAATGGCAATCAAAGTTCGTTGAAATAACGAATGATTATTTCATTCTATGGATAGAATATTAATTATATGAAATATATGCATGTATACGATTAAAAAATTTCTGCACATTCTACAATTCAACGCCGACTATTAAAGTCTCTACTATTATTATAAATAATAAGCTTCATTATTCAAATTTCTTTTTTTTTTCTTCCATTCTTAACTGAAAAATCGTTTTGCATAATAGAAAAAAAAACACTAGTGAAATCGATTTGCAAAAGGTATGCAAACATGGAACGTGAGGATGTAGCAAGACGTTATTCAATTGTTGGTAAATTAGCTCATTATAGTGCAAAATTTAGACTTGATGATGATGGACAATATTTACTGGCACAAGTGCGTAGGCAATCTCCATCATTATCAAGAATCGAACGACGCAGCTCAATTGTATATACACCATCTAGGTTTGTTTGATTTTTATTTTAGACTAAAGCAAAGGTCTAATAGATGCAAAGTTAAAACTTAATATAACAAAACTTTTCTTGCTAATAGCTACACTCATGATTAGTTCAAACGTTTTTCATAGTATCTAAAATTGTTCAGGATTGATGCGTGTTCCCTGGTAAACTTGTCGAATTCAATTAAAAAAGAAAAAACTTCTGAAATAGCCGGTGATAGGAAAGTTTTTAAACAAGGTTTTTGCTCAGTTTTGACTCACAGGAAAATATTTCCGACGAATCAAAAGCTATAAGTTAGAACCAAAATTTTGTACTCTTTTCGAGTATGGACTTATTAAATTTTGTTTCAGTTTTCTTTCGAGAATAGTGAAATAATCTTTAAAAAGTCAAAACATTTAATTTGGATGGAAAACTATCATGCACATCGTTGCATTTTCACTGTGGCAATTCGAACCTCCAACTTAGAATTTTTATTTATAATCAATTTTCATTTGTCCTAAATATTCGTCTTTAAAAAATCGATAACAGTTTTACATAAAAAGAAGTTTCTGAATAAAAGTCACAACTTAGTTGAATATCACATTTTGTAGACAAGTGTCCGTTCTATAAAATGGTCGACTCCAACAATTTTTAGCATGTTCAAAAAAGAAATTACAGAGTAGACAAAAACCTTTTCGCTCGCCATTAAAAATAATTTTTCAGGTCTTTCAGAAAGTCCCTCGCTACTGTCGAATCAAAATAGACACAACATTTTTAAATCCATATTAGAAACGAGCATCCGAACTCATAGCTTTCACCTTTTGACTCGTCCGAAATAATTTCTAGCGAGTCAAAAGTAATCAAATATTTTGCCTCAAAACTTTTCAATCATCTATTATTGTTAACTTGACTATAAAGAATTTCTTCTGTTAACCAATGCCATCTATTTGGAATATTGAAGTTGCAATTAAATTGATCTTTGAGGTTTTTGCCTTGTCACTTTCGTTGAAAATGGTAGCTTCATTGAAACTATCGATTAAACAAGTTTTAATAGTCTGAAAAAAAAAGAGTCTTTTGAATGTGATGATCTATTTCCGATTTGAATAAAAGATAAAATAAAAGAAATGAGCACTGCTACAGCATCAAAGATAGCCGGTGGAGGTGTCGCTCATACGCGCGGTGATCAAGCGTTAAGGTCTATTATTTTTATTTTTATTGTATAGTTTATGTATGTTCTCTATGATTTAGACCAGTAGAAAATAGAAAATCTCGTTTTTTACCCTTATGGCCAGAATGGAATGAAGCTGATGTTAATGCTGAATCATGGGATATTGGAAGTGTAAAAAAGAAAGATGCAGGAACAACTAAAGGTCGTGTCGATGTAAAATCAGCTAGTTCAGTGGTAAGAAAATGAGATATAAATAAGATATACATATTTATACAATAAGAATTAACTTTCTTTTTCCTAGGGTACACATGGTTTTGAAGATCCCGAAGGTAAAGTCGAACTTCCTCCCACAATCAAAGTTGATCAATGGAAAAGACCAATCGATTTTCTCCCATCCGATAAAGTAAGAAACTGAAGACTATAAATTGAACGAATAATTAATTATAACCAATGTAATAGTCTCCAGTAGTTGTTGATCCTGATCATGGCATGCAAAATTTTGATTTAGTCACACCAAATGAACATTTACATTATAGTGAAGTAAGATCGTTTTTCTTTTCATGATAATCTTGTATTTTTTTTTAAATATTATAGACAATGCGTAACATTATTGGTCAGATTACAGCACTATGGGATATCTGTCGACAAGAACGAAAAGCTAATTCAACACCAGAATATACAACAGAAACAAATCCAGCTGTTTTAAGTGGACGAACATGGCGTCCTTGGGTTTGTCTTTTTTTTGTACTTTAAATATATTATTATCTTTCTATGTGTTGAAGGAACATATATACGCATTGAATAAAGTAGCGAAACAACCATTTATTACTCCATATAATCCCGCAGGCAAATATGCTGTTCGACTTTTCTTTTTGGTTTGTATTATACAAATATTGAAAGACTTTTAAAAATACAATTGAACGTATATTTGTTTTTCAATAAATAGGGTAATTGGCGAAAGCTTATTATAGATGATACAATACCATTTGATTCTAAAAATCGATGTCTTCTACCACAAACATCATTACCATATGAACTTTGGCCTATGCTTTTATCAAAAGCTTTATTAAAAATAATTTCTCTTGAGTAAAAAAAAAAATATTTTTACGTAAATTTTGTTCTATTCAAATTTTTTTTTTTCTAATTGTAGTTTTCGTTCATCAAGTACATATGCTGAATACAATGAAACAAGTGTTATTCATGCACTTACTGGATGGGTATCAGAACCTATTCCACTTAAGTAAGTTTATGTTTAAGAAAATATTAATATACAGGATTGACCAAAAGTTTTGATAATATTAAATAAGAATATAAGAGTAGAGATATATTTTTCATTTTATTTTATTAAATGTTTAAAATAGTCGCCATAATTATTTATACAAAGTTTCATCCTTTCTAGCAATTTTTCAAATGTTACTTTTACTCCTGTCCTCTGGAATATTTTTAACTATCTTGAAAACAGCACGAGCCAATGATTTCTGATTTATTTGATCAGTTAAATTGCGCTTGATATAATCATTTAGTCAAAAATCACATGGTGTAAGGTCTGGTGAAAATAGTATATGCGACATAATATTGATAGTTTTTTGTATTAAATAATTTATATCATTTGGATGAGTATGAGGTCGAGCATTGCCATGAAGTAATTTTATATCTTTTGCACTTGATGACTTTCTTTGTTTTCATATTTTATTGACAACAGGCTTGAGGCAATTTTCAATATAATAGTTGTGATCTATAGTTTTTGCCTTTATCTATACTATTCATAAGAACATGACCCTTTGAATTAAAGAATACAGAAAACAAAGTTTTTAGTTTAAATCTACTTTGTCGAACAATAGTCTTTGGTGATTAGTTTTCATTAATCCAAATTGTGTTAGTTAATCAGCGTCCAACGTATCATTGATAAATCCATGTTTCATCACATGTAATAATCGTCATGATCCATTACGAAATTTCACCAAATTTTCAAGAAAAATTCTAAATCGTTCTTGCTTTTGTTGATGATTGAACTGATGAGGCATTCAACGTACAGTTGTCAGATCATCATAAGTTGAATTTGGGTCATTATTGACAACCTATCGTATCAGCTCAATATTTATATCTGTAAACTCGGAAATCGGACGATCAGCATATACTATCGGGTTCAAAAATTTTGAACTCGAATTCGATGAGCTCTCACGGCCAGATCGAGGGCCATCATTGACATTGTCTCGTCTTTCATGAAAACGCATTATTCACCTTACCTTGCAATCGTTGGATATGATGGAACGTTAGACTCCAATGCTGTTGCAAATTCTTCATGTAGAGTCTTTGTATCTATTCTCAAAATAATTTGAAGTTTAACATAGTACCGATTGAATTCATTATCCATTTTCCATATTTTTTTTAGTAAGAATTTGATTATATCTGGAAGAATATCAGAACTAAGTCTAATAAATATTTATTACATTCTATTAATTATTCATATAAAAGACACTTTAGTGTCAGTTGGTTTTCGAAGTTGCTAACAACGTTATCAGAACAGTTGGTCAGATCTAAGTATATACATCATCAGTTAGGCTTCATATTTATACCACATATACTGAGTGATACTAGTGAAAGATGTAGAATATGCATAATCTTTGGGTACAGTAATTCGTTCAAAAACGTACAAAGAAATCTTACTATTTGTCTATGATTGTAAAAGAAATTCGATGTTGTTCGATATTCATAGTTTTGTCTGCTTATCTCAATCTATGAATTGAATCCGATGTAATTATATTTTGAACTAATTTAGCATAAACGAGGTCAACATTAATTAAATGCGGTTTATTTCACAGATCAATATAAGTAGACAAAACTACGAAAATCGAAAAACATCAAATTTATGATACAGTTATAGACGAGCAGTAAAATAAACTTGCACACTTGTAAACAAATTTTGGCATCCAAAGATTGATCATATACTACAGTTTTTATTAGTATCATCTAGTATGTGTGGTATAAATATGAAGCGTAACTGACTATGTACAAAGTAGAAATTGAAAAAAACTCTAATCTCCTCAGTTTTGAGGCATCATTGAATGAATACTACTTTATTTAAGATATACTCATGCCACAAAAGTATGGGAATTCCTTCGTTATGATCGTTCAAATAGACTTGTAACGGAAAGTGAAAGTGGAGTAAATAAAACAGAACAACAACCATCAAGTCCATTACCAGTTTTTGGACCTGTACCATTATTTAAATGGACTGATACAAAAGCTGATTCATCTGAAGAATCACTTTTATTAAATGTAAATATAAAATCAAGTTCTTTTTTATAATTCGCTTTTGATTCTTCTTATTGAAAAGGATCAATCAGGTCATCAAGATGATACGGGAACAGAAAGTCTGACAAAAAAATCTGATGATAAAAGTGCCAAAAAAGGTGGTGCACCAGCTGGTTTAGCAGCATCGAAAGATACAGCTGCAAAATCAGCAACAGGAAAAGAAGCTCGAGCTGGTAATAATGAAAAACGAAATGTGTTTATTAGACATTAAAAAAAAAAACATTAATTTAGGTGGTGGTGCAAATGTTGGTGCCAGTAAAGATGCTAAAAAAATAGGCGGTGTTGGTCGAGGAGGTACAACAGAAGATCCAGGAGCTGTTGTTGATGATCAAACAATACCTGAAGCACCCAAAATGATTGTATTTGCTACTATACCTCATTTAGAACCAACCCGTATTAGTTCTTATGGTGAAACAGCAGATAGAAGTGAACGATTAAGACGTTATAATTTAAATGATACATTTTCAACATCAATGTTACTTACTTGTATTCGAGATCTTCCATTAGAACCACCGCCACCACCTGAATATGTACCTGCATGGAAACTTATTCGACCAAAAAAATCAAAAATCTTGCCACATGCTGAACCAGTTGGTAAATATATTTGTTAAATAATACTAATATTTTATGAAACATTAACATTTTGTTTGTTTTTTTTTTAGTTCCACAAGAACCGAAACCTGACCGTTGGATTGAAATAGCTTCTCCTTATATTAATTATCCAACTGCAAGTGCTCTTAATATGTACGTAAATAGTTTTTATTTTTGCATCATCTTTATTTCATATTTAACAACTAACACAGAAAACCGACGATCCGACTTCATCCAACTGATAGTTGTTTCACGTAGGGTTTATTACAATTTGATTCAGGATTGTGCATATTCTATAGTTATTTGCTTTTTATTTGCTCTCATATGCTTTTGCTGTGCTTAGATTTTATTTCTTTTTTTTTTGTTAGATTTTTATATTCTTTTTGAAATGCATATAATTTGTTAGAATAGGATTTCTATATATGAATGTGTTTTATCAATAGGAATGTAAATACGCCAGTTCCTGGTGCTACATCACGTTTAAGTCATTCAGCAACACATTCAACCGTAGCTGACGTACCTGAAATAATCGAAGTAGATGAAGAAGGAGATATTGAAAATATTGAATCTAAACCTGACATTGATATTGACGTTGTTCAAGGTGATTCAAGTCCAAATTTAATTAAAAAAGATGAATTAATGTCACCTAATAAAGAGGTTTGGTTTTAATTGACTTCTTTTATTTTTGTTTAAAACCAAAATCATTATTATCGTTTGGTTTTTTAGTTAAATACTATGGGTCCACCAGAGACACCTGATGAATCTACACGTGGTACAGGAAGTAAACTTAAACGTGAAAAATCAGCTGATAAAAGCAAAGTAAATTTCCTGTTTGTTGATTAGTTTTTATTAATAAATAAATATAAAATAATAATAATAGATAAATCGAAAATTAGCTGGTAGTAAATTGGATTTAGCTGGTGCAAAAGTATCATCAGATGCTGTTTCTGTCAAAAGTCGAGGTTAAAAGTCGATTATATATTTTAATAAAATAAATTATTTTTGGAATTCGTTAGGCGCTGAAAGTGAACACAATATGACACCACTGGATATTCATGGCACTGGAAATAATACAGAACATCAAGATTCTCAATCAAAAACAAATGATATTACTTCAAATCCAAATATAATTCAATCAATGAAAAAATCTTATACAACACCGAAAATATGGATGGATTTCGACGATTTTTGTTCATGTTTTACATCAATTGTTGTTTATCATAATCCTCGTGGTTATCAATATACACATAAACATACAGAAATTAAGGTAAAATAGAACATCTTTATATCTATCCTTTATTCATGATCAAGAAGAATAAGAAAATATTCTAAATATGCTTTTTTTAGTTTGCTATATCTCAACAGGTAACTTTTATATTTGAGCGATTAAAAGAAATATTTATATGCTTATCGCTTATATATATATATATATTTATATATCCATGTATATATTTATATATTCATATTTATAGCTATTTTAAAAGTTTCTTTTTTTTGCTGTAAAATTTCTACTTGTATGAAAAAATGTCACGAATTCACTACAATTACGTTTTGATCAGAAAAGGCTTGATTTTCACATATTTAAATGGCATCTAAGCACAGCTTTTGCAACGAATAATACAGATTTGAATGCTTCAATGCTTGTGAAATAGTAATATATATATATATAAATATATATATAGTGACATGACAAAATAGCTTTATTTTTGGTCTTGGTCGAACTGGAACAAGGAATGAGACGGAAAATCAGGTCTCGCTCTTTTCTAGATTAGTAGCAACGCCACAGGGTTGGGAATCGTTTCAGCTGCCTTCTTCCAATTTCAATGATTTTTTTTTGCCGATAGATACTACATAGTGTTCTAATAAAAATTTTAAAAGAGGTATGGTTTCTGTTGATATTTGATTAAGCCATCGAATTTTTAATATGTCTAATTTTTAGAAGTTCCAAGTTTTCAGAAAACTCGTATTTTTGAATCTTGATCTGAAACTTTGTGAATATAGGGAACTCAATTAGACTAGCTTCTATTAAAAATATCACAAGTTTTGAACGAAGTTTCTTCGAGATATAAGACTTTCAAGATATATAACCTTTTCCATAGATTGCGTACAGAACATGTATTTTTTCAAAAACTTTATAACTCGAAAAGACTTTGTTCAAAAATTGGGAAATTTTTAATGGAAGCTAGTCTAGTTCAATTCTCTATATGTACAAAGTTTCAGATCAAAGTTCAAAAATAAGAGTTCTCCGAAAACTTGAAGCTTCGAGAAAATAGACATATATAAAAAATTCGATAGCTTACTCAAAAATAGTGATGGCAATTCAAATCCTTTTTGAGTTTTTATTAGAACACTATGTAGTATCTAAAGGCAAAAAAATCATTCAAGGCGAAAAGGAAAATCTAGAGAGATTCTTTCGTGAGCTCCCGAAAGATTTTAAAAGTTGTTGCTAACGGTGATCCCAAAGAAAATCAGAGAAAGACTCAGTTCTTTTCCCCTGGCTAAAAATCATAGCGCTGCTGCTATTCTAGATGTACAATACTAATAATTTTCTTTTCCTTTTTTTTATTAATCAGTGAACCTAATAGTTTCTATCATTTTTGAAGAAGAGATTTTTCGTCTAAGATTATTTTCGATAAACTCTTGCTTAACAAAAACGATTAAATTAAAAGAAATGTTGCATAAATTTTATCTTCTTAAGATTTGATACTACAGAATATTGCAAGGTAATCAAAAGCTAATTTCAACAATCGAACCCTTCCTATATAACTATTAATTTCTACTAGAGAAAATTTCCTTCTATCCCTTTAAACATAATTCAATTAAACTGTGATATAACCTATTCTTTGTTTTTTTTCTAAATAGATAATTATATTTATTTTATTTTAGCCAAGTATTGCTTCTGCAACAAAAGAAAAGAAAAAAGAACCAAATCCACCTGTAACTCAACAATTACCAGTAAGTTTATTATCTCTCATATTCATTACTATTGCTTTTTATTTCATATAATTTATCAATAGAATTTACAAGATGAGAAATCACCATTATATTTATTTGTTGATAGTACACGTGACAGATTAGATAAAAATATTGAATTAATTATTAGTTTAACATCTTTATCACGATGGCTTGATTCTGGTGCAACGGATGGTGCAAGTCCGCTAGGTTCAATGTTGCCAACAACAACTGAAAAAGTTGGTCGAGGTGGAGGTGGATCAACTGATAAAGCATCTGCAGAACTTAGTCCAGTAAGAGGTGTAGGAAGTAGACGACGAACAAGTACTGTTGAAGCACTTCCACAAACGCCTGGTCCACATGTTAATTTACAAGATGGAAGCGTTGTTGAAAGTAACGAATATTATTTAAATAAAATAAACACAGAATCATTTTTCTATATCATGTATTAATTAATAGTGTCACAAAAAGAAATTATGCCACAGCCAAGTTCACTTATTGCTGAAATTTATTCTTGGAAATCACTTTCAATGGGTCAACCTATTCTTCGTCTTCATACAACAACTACTAAAGCATCTTTTCTTACATTACCACCGGGGTACATATTTCAAAATATTTCTTTATTATGAGAAAAGAAAAATAAATAAATAAATAATTTTATTTTTCTAGACGTCATGTATTAAAATTTAGTGTTACATGTCCATTAGCTTGTCATCTTCAAATTATGTCGGATACAAATGATTTTACATTTGGTGATGAAGATCAATTATTATCAAAAATTGTTTCAGTATCAGTATGTTTTAAAAACTTCGTTGTTTCTTTTTTTATTTAATTATTTTTCTTATATTCATTTAAAGGAAGATGCTGAATTTATATCACGTGCTGAAGAATTATTTCTTGCATTTGATGATGCTATACAAAATTTTAATAACATAGATCAACAAGACATTAAACTTAATGAATTATTTCGTTTATATTGTGAATATGCTTCGCCATTATCGAATCTTACTGTTCAAACATGTTGGAACACATTTAATCAAGCACTTTATTCAACTTTACGTACCATATGTAATGGATCTGGACAACCGCTTAGTGCAGAAACTCAATTTGCTTGGAGATGTTTTACAAATGATTTGGCAACACCAGATATCATGGGTGTGTATGAATCCAGACGACCTAGTAAAGCGATGAATTGCTTAATTGTCAATTTTATTCTTTTCATATTTTTATTTTAGGTACTTCAGGTGCAAGTCGTAATTCAGCGCGAGCTGGTAATGCACCAGGTGCAGGTGGAACAGGTGCTGCAACAACAGGAGTACCAGCTGCAGGTAAAAAAGGTGGCGGAGGAAAAGATAAAAGTATTGATGATAAAGCTGCCAGCAAACAACTATCACAATTGAGTACTTCATTATCTACGGCAGAACTTCAAGGTAAGTTGTTCATTCACTGATATATAAAGTTCTGGTTGAAAATACACGACCAATGAACATTTTGATTTGTTTCTATGGTACCAAACATTTAATTCAAATCCAAATACAGTGTAACCTCTTTATAGTGAATACTCTTTAGACTTTTCAAAAGTATCCACTATAAGGAGATTAGGTTTTTTCTAAACAGCAATCTTTTTTACCAGGACCAGACGTGTTCTCTAGATATCTGAAGGGTATTAGTGAATAACCTAATTAATTACTGCTCATTATTACTTCTCTTTTTCATGCATTTTTCTTCTTGAAAAATTAACAATTATTGAAATATAGTAAAATTTTCCTATCGTGAACACTATTGGGACTTTTCGAAAGTATCCATCATATAACTATGTAACCGTGTCGATTATAGAGAGGTTCATTCCAACAAAAGTTACTTCGACAGATCACGAAATGTTCTATTATTGTAGGTTTCAGTATAATGGTTTAAATAGGATGTTAAAGGTATTTCATAATGAAATTATTTATATAGGCTATGAGAAGAATGTTTCTCAGAAAGCAGACATGATACTTTACAGGTACCATAAGAGTATATGAAAATTAGTTTTTATGACAGTCAACTTAAAGAGCACCACATCCTGATTAAAATGAGGAGTCATTACTTTTCCTATGACTTTTCATTAAAAAGTTAGAAGCATTATCAAGCGAAATTTATCATAGAAACGCATTTATTTGTTCCTTTTTGTGATGCGTACAACTTTTTAAGGAAAGATCATACGAAATGTAGCGACCCCTTATTTTTTTTCAAGATTTTGTTTTCTTTAAGATGGCACTCTTGAAAACTAATTTTCACACAAACTTCAGGGACCTGAAAACTACAGCTTTTGAATTCTGAGAAATCTTCTCCTCATAAACCATCTATGGAATTTATTAAATGAAATAAATTTAATAGAGAACTTCATTGTCTATTCAAACCATAAATTCAGATTTGAGTCTAAAGGCTTGATATCATAGAAAAAGAAATACGTTGATCTTATATGTTAGATCAGTACTATATTTTTATATTTGAAATTTTAGAAGAATCAATACCTGATTGGCTCAGTCATGATTTAGCATCGAATGAATTGGAATGTATTATTAGTATTCAAAAGGTTGCTCGAGGCTTTTTACAACGACGTATATTTCTTGCTCGTACACCTGGTACAGAAAAAAATTTACTTACACAACGATTATTACAATCAACAATGGCGATACTCAAAGCTGATACAATGAAATCAGCTTTACTTCTTTTTAAGTAGATTTAAATTTGAATTCAAAATTAAATTAGTACTTTTTTTTTTTTTTTTGTAAAAAAAAGAAATCTAATGGTAAGCAAACCACAATTAATACAATGTTTTCAATTTCGTAATGATGATTGGAATATGGTTTCATATCGAGATTATCTTGGACAATATCAAGAACAACCAGCAAATACTTGGTTTACTCTATTTCGGTACATGATAAGATTATTTTAAACAAAATAAGATTTCTTCTTTTGTTTTTTTTTGCTTTTTCTAGAGAAATTTTTTATGTGATTGAAGAAGGTTTTATTTCTGGTAAATTTCTTTCTCATGCACAAAATTCACTATTACGTGTTATTAATAATGATACATATGATGAAATGCCACTTATTTTTAATCGATTAGCACCATCAATGTTTACAAAAAATAAAGTAAAATTAAACATTCTATTTGCAAAAATAAAAATATATTCGTTTTTTCTTTGTTTTAATTCATAGTTAGGTTATACATTTTTTGCTGAAGGAATATCACTCGATCAACCAATAACAACTGGTCGTTTTCGTCTACGTCTATTAACATCTTATACACATTTACCTGAACCACGTGTTGAACAAATAACATCATCATTTATTACAAAAGAAATTAAAGATTATTATGTTCCAAATAAACAACAAACTATATGCAGGTAAAATATTTTCATAAAATAAAATAAAATAAAATAAATTCCTTAAGATATCGTATAACTGTTGCTGATGATTTCAATCAAACTGGTCGTAATTTTCACTTAGCTAGTATTCAATTTAGTACATCAAAATCTGATGTTTTAATACGTTTAACTGTATTAAATAATAATGATGAAGTTGTTAGTGTTGAAGGCAAAGGCAGTGTTGTTTTACCTGCATTTTTATTTATGCGAGATGTTACTAATGCAGCAAGTAGTGTTGTACAAGCACCACCACCAATTCAACCATTGTCAAGACCACAATCAAAAACAGGAGGTTATTTGATTATATGAATATTATTATTAGAAAAATAATATTTTTCTTTTAAAGGAGCAATTAAAAAAGATTCTAATAAAGCTGCTGGTGGTACTGCACATCGAGGAAGTGTTGTTGAATCGTCAACTATAAGTAGTGGTCGATCGGATAAAGATAGAAGTGGAAGTGAAAAGAGAAGTGTAAGTTAATACAATTATATTTATTTGATAGATATATATTTTGTTTTACATTTATCTTCATTTAGTTACTTAACAGAAAAAAAACTTTTCCAGTTAATGAATACATTGTCTTTTTTTTTGTTCTTTTGCAGATAATCTTTTTATTTCCTGCATGCTATAAAATCCCTCCCATTCACACAGATGAATTTATTTATTTTGTTTCTATTTGAATAATATCATGTTGTTATATTTTAGAGATCAAGTAGTCGAACAGGAATTATGGCAGATGAAGAAGAAAAAGTAATAATATAAAAAGTTTTATTTTTTTTTTGCAATATATATGTCACCATCTAGTGTAAGCTCCAAGTTTAAACTAGTCCAAATTTGGATTGAGCAAATATCAATTTTCGTCCATAAATTGATGTTAGATTTCAGACATTTTTCGATAAATTACGACACGATGATGATACTTCTTTTGTGCAAAGTCAATTGATCATGAAAGTTTGATTTAAATTGTTTTAAAAAAACGAAAATTTCCGCTAAGTTTCTATTTGCACATAAAATTAGTTTGATCGAACTCTATCTTTGAAGCGAGTGTTCTAAAAGTAAATGTCATCAATTTGTTGTCGCTCATAAATAAAAAAGTTATGAATTCAACAACGATTTCAGGATTAACAATGAGTTTTAATTTCAAAGTTTTTTCTTTCAATCCAAGTTTGGATCTTAGATTAGACACTAATATATATAGTAGCGAACAAAATTTCATAACAGCTGCTTTTTGAAGTTTGCTTCTCGATGATAATAGCTAGAAAGAATAAACGAAACAAATTTTTATAGCTGAAACGATTCTCTATTAGGATTGATAGGTCTAAAGACTTCAATAAAAATACTTGGATGAGAGTCTATGGAAAATCGAGACTCTTCAAAATTAGCCTTCAGACTTCCGTTCCAGGCTTTTGGGAAAACGTTTTATTTGATAGAGCAAATAATTCTAAGCAAAGTGATATATCTCTGATCTCTCTATGGTCTTCCTTCATCGAGTTGCTTCAATTTCCAGAAAACTCGAGAAGCATTTTTCTCTTCTTTTTATTGAAAATTGCAATGTTTTTGTCAAATTTTGAACGTTTTGACGTCTTCTATAAATTGAATGTAATTCGATGGAAACAGATCATAGAGAGATCGGGGACTTATCATTTGACTCTATAAAATAAAGTCATTTTTTTAAAAGCTGACTTTGAACTTTTTGGTTTTTCGCAGGTCCTCATCTAAGCAGTTTTGTTGAAATTTTAAGGCCTACCAATCCTAACAGAAATTCTTTTCAGCTACACAAATGTTTCTTCCAATTCTTGCTATCTATTATCATCGAGAAGAAAACTTTAAAATACATTTGCTATATAGTTATATGTTCCACTAAATGTATATATTTATAATAATTTGTTTAGTTTCATAAATATGTTATTCAAGCAACCGTTCTTCGTAAAACATGGCCATTAACACCAACTCAATGGCAGTTTGTTGAACAACTTAAAGAACAAGAAAAGAATGAATTAAAAAGTAATAAGATTATTTCTCGTGTTTTCTTTTTCTAATAGTTTTATTGATCTGTTTAAATTAGTTTTTAATCGACAACCATCAGCAAATAAAACGGATGGAACCACAGGAGGTGGAGCAGGTGCAGGTAGTAAACGAGCAGGACAACCAAATACAAGTACAGCAGCAATAGCTGGGAAAGGAAAAGGTGCTGCAGCTAGTGGTGGTACAGGTAAAACTAGCACGACTACGTCAGGTCGACCGGGTACAGGTAAAGCAAGTGCAGAAAAAGCAATCGATACAAGCAAACCTCATTGGATATTACGTGTAGTATCTGATGCAGATAAAGCGGTATGAAAATTGTAATAAAAGCTCTAGAAACAAACTTATATGTTTGACTATTTTTCAAATAGGATGAATTAACAATTAAAAAAGATACTGAACGAAATGAAGAATTAATTAATATGAAGAAAGCATGGGAAACATTTGAAGCTGGTCGAGCTCAAAAAGCTATGAAAGCAAGACAAAAATTTCTTGATTCTTTACAACCAAAAGTTGAAGAACGTCCAACATCAAGTACACTAGATGGTACAACAAAACGACCTGAAAGTCGTACTGGTGAAGAACCATCTAATGCGACTCCTACAACTGCTACCGCAACTGAACAACAACATGCTGCTAAACAAACGCCAGCTGCAACAGGATCAACAACGAAGAAAAGTGCTTCATCAACAGGAAATAAAAAAGGTGTAGCTAAAGAAGATGCATCTAAACAAGCTGAATCAACATCAGCACAACAAGAACTTACACTACCGCCACCAATAGTTGATGAACCTCTTCTCGATCAACCACCACCAGCTAAACCTAAAATTATTTTACCACCACTTGATGTTAAACCTTTTATCAAGTAATTCAATAATTTAAACATAAGAAAAAAAAGAAATCTATATTATTTTATGTTATTTATTGTTTTTTCTTTAGACAAAAAATGCTTTCTGATGAACCAATTGTATTAGATCCTCTATTTGAACAAGAAGATTTACGTCGTCGTCAAGCTGAATTTCTTGAATATGCTAAATATGCAGAAGAAATTCGTCAAAATCGTGAAGAAGATCATCATAATAGATATAAAGAAAAAATTCGTCAATTAGAAGAATATGTTGATTTACAAGCAAGAATTGATCAATCTCGTCGTACAATTAATGAACCTCGTGAAGCATTTCGACAACGTTTTCTTGAAGTTGAACGTAAACGACTTGCCGAATTAGCTGCTCAAGAACAAGAATTAATTGCAGCAGCTGAAAAAGCAAAAGCAACTGCAGCTCCAGCCAAAGGTAAAGGTTCGGCTGGAAAGAAAGGCAAGAAATAATCTGATAAATGTTGAGAAAGCTGTGTTTTTCTTTTGTATGATTATTTTTCATAAAGTTTTGGTTTTTCAATAAAGACGTGGAACAAAAATATATTCAATCATAGCAAAAGCATTAATCTAAAATCTTGCTGAATAAAATACAAATTGAATATTCACGATGGAACGTTGCCAAGTTCAATATGCCAATCGATCTAACATATTGCTCATTATATGAAGCCGATGAGATTAGTCGAAGCCCAAAATTGATTTGTGCTAATATCCTATTTATCTGAAATAATGATCATAGTTAATAATTTTCGTTTGCTTTATATGGCTTTTATGAAAAGCAGTATAATGAATTGTTGAGTTGAAATCTTGCTAATGGGCAGATCTCAAAGCCAATAGAGTGTCTGAAAAAATTTCAGTTCAATCGAGTATTCTTTTTTCTACAGATATCGAATGTTCAAACAATGATCATATTGCATAAAAAGACATTCAGAATTGACTTTTCTTGAGCGTTCGATGATATCTCGAAAATAAACCTATTCGATTGAGCTGAAATTTTTAGGAATTTTTCAAGTGAACAGCTTGTTTGATGATGTTTAATAGATGCTATACCCAGTTGATGAAACTTCTTTTAAGTGATCATTTCTCTACATAGACAGGGCAACGATATGAATTTTTTTAGGATTCTATCAGTATCATCGATCACCATTAATGAACAAAATATCACTGTCATTAGCTCATCCCATTTGAAAACATTCTATCTCTAGATATAAATATGAGTTCATATCATGATAATCAAATGACCTTATTTAAAATTGAATAAATTCATCTATATTCGATTAAAAGTTCTTTTGTTTGTTTAACAATTTAATATCACAACATGAGAATGAATTGCCGAGAAAACGCTAGCAATATTTAGTCATTCAATGTGTCGATCGCTATTTGTTAAAATACTGTGACGAGAAATATTTTTGAATAATAATGCGAACAGAATTACATTCTTCATCAAGTTCAAAGGAATATAAGGATGCTAGTTGAAAATAACAAACAAACTTTACCAAGGGAAATGTAAAAAGCATATTCAGATAATATTTACAATATCATTAAAATTTCTTCAGCAATATTATTATGACATGTCTTTACAATGTTTACAACCAAAAGCATTGAAATGCATCCGTTTATTTTCTATGACTGGATCAATCTATTGTGGTTATGAAAATTCAAATCAATTGTTAAAGGGATACAATGCTGTTGTGGATATTTCAGCAGCTCATTTCAGTTTAGCTTCACTTAATCGTACAAATTTCATGAAGTTTTCTAGGATTAAATACTAAATATTTCTTTCATTTTGTAATCAAAGCAAACATATTCAATTTGTTGTTGATTCTTATACATTTTGGTAGAAAATGGTACGGGTACAAGATGTCATGTAATAACAGCATTTTTAGCTACGTCGTATTCAAGAGTTTTGACTATGATTGTTCTAGCATTTCCATTAATTGTCTGTCATGATAATTTTATAAAAACGGATTCAACTGAAAAAAAAACAAATTCATTCATCTCTAGTATTATTAACCTTAGATTCATATACATCCACAGAAATGATTGAAATCAGTGTATTAGATTCGATTATTTACAGTAAAACAGTCATTTTATTATGATTCTTAATAGAATATTTTAGTATACAATATTATTTATTGTTCTATGCTAATGTGAGTATATTGAATTTAAATATCAATAATTAGCCTGGTTTAATCCGTTAAAATAGATGATCTAGATGCTTAACAGATTCGACTCCATTGCTAATTTCTCATCACAAATACCATCGATAAAACTCGAATGATCTACAAAAGTATGTAGCAGGTTAGCAGAATGACTAATTTTGTCGGAGTATTGTTTACTTTCTCCTCATTTTCTTTCTTTCTCTGTGTAATTGAGATACGAGAAAGGAATCCTATGTAAGATGCCGGAAATGCAAAATCCCCGTGAATTTTATTTTTCATTCTATTATATAAGATTTGATAGAGCCTCAAAAGCTGACCATGAATGTATTTTTTTAATTTCGATTCAATCACTGCTTACCTGGAAAAATCTTTAAACACATTAAATGACTAAAATATAGAATTTGTAGCCACGAATTTGCTTTTCCTAGAGAATCTGTCAAGTTGCATTTACATTTATTTTACAAACTTATCAAAAATATTATATTCTGAATCACAATAAAAAAAAGACTAGAAAAATGTTATTTAATAGAATGTAAAGTTACTAAGGTTAAAAAGAACTCTGGTCAATATATAATAATGTCCATCAGGTTCAAAGCATATGTTCATGAGTATTCTTGTAAATCTATCTAGTTTTTGTAACAAGACATAGAAGCGAATGTCTTTTAACTTTTTTAGATTCTGTTTATTTTTGAAAAAATTGAAATTTTTTCCTGTCTGGTGGTAACATGAAGCGAAAAGAAGAAAAATGTATTTGTTTTTAGAGGTTTTATTATCATGATCCAGTAAAAAAGCATGATAGGTAGCATATTCAGAATCAATGTCAAAAACTGCATCTAATGCTACATGTTTTAAGAATCTTTTTTACTGCGAAAAAATCGATCCCTTGGAAGACTAGAGACACAATTTAACAAAAACCATAGACCTGAGAGGACGCATAGACCGATTTTCCAGTGGAAACAGTTTTGACTAAAATATATATGATTCGATGCAGTTTTTGACGTTGATTCTGAATATGCAATCTACTTTGATTTTTGATCGAACTATGATAATAAAAACCCCTGAAAACAAATACATTTTTCTTCGTTTCGCTTCATGTTTCCACCAGATGGGGGAAACTTTCAAGTTTCCCAACAATAAAACAAAATCTGAAAAAGTTTAATAGGTACTTTTGTAGATCATAATCTGACGATTCTAACGAGATAAGACACTTGCTTCTATATCTTGTTACAAAAAACTAGATAGATTTACAAGAATGCTCATGAACATATGCTTTGAGCCTGATGGACATTATTACATCGGACAGGATTTTTTTAACTTTACATCTTATTAAATAACATTTTTCTAACCTTTTTTTAATTTTCATTCAGAATATAATATTTTCGAGAAGTTTATAAAATAATTGTAATCGCAAATTGACAGATTCTCTAGGAAAAGCAAATTCGTCGCTATAAATCCTATACTTTAGTCATTTAATGTGTTTAAGGAATTTATCCAGTTAACAAGTGATCGAATCGAAATAACAAACATATATTCGTGGTCAGCTTTTGAAGCTCTATCAAATCAAATATAATAGAACGAAAAATAAAACTCACTGGAGTTTTCCATTTTCGGCCCCTTATATATTCATGACAACTGTAACACCAAATGAATTTGTGTTTATGTAAAATTGTTTATCTGGGGCTATTGAAATGCCTTGAAGTTAAAAAAATCAAAAGATTTATTTTATAGGAGATCTATTTCTTTTGCATATATTAACGTCTATTTCCAAGAGCATTCTTTTTTTCCAGAATAAAACTTCGAAGATAAGTTATGGTGTATACAATTGTAGCACGATAGTTTCAAACAATGATTGACAATGGATAATTATATTGTAATCATTGCCTTTAGAATGTCGAGTAAAGGAACGCACATACTGTTTTAGAATTTAAAAAACATTCATTATTGTCCTAAAAATATAATCAAGTTCCTGATTACGTACATGATGAATTTCATTTTTGAACAACATCGAAACTCGTTCATTACCTAGTCTTGAACCTCGAATTTTTTTTATGTGAGTGTAGTCATTATTTCTTTTTGTAACTATCTGTTGAACATATTAGTTAAATTGGAGTTGAAAACGTCCGGAATGGCATTAGTAAATTATGACAATTATTTTTCCTCATTTCTTGCACTCATTAAAACAAAACTACAGTATTTTCACATATTCTGTCATACATTTAACTTAAAGTAAATATATAAATACTTTCTTTGAAAACTCAAATTTTTATTCACAAGGTTGAGTAATGAAACTCACCATCCATTGAAATAATTTCGTTTGCCTCGTAGAGTTATTGCATATAAGTATATGATTTAGTCCTTAATTCTCAGTTGCTTTATTTAATTGACAGTGAAATAATTTCAACAGGGAGAGGACGCCCCGCTAAAAGATTTACGTCTTCAATACGTCATCACATTTTTTTATTTTCTCTGCTATACATCAACATTTCACACAGATGCTGTTCTTTGACTAAAGAAAAGAGCATTTTTTACAAAGAAAATATCAGAAGAGTTATAACTCCAAAGATCTTTACGATTGTTTTTTTGCTAAGACATTATTGACTTATTCATTAAAATGTTTAACATTACTAATTCTACCATTGTCAATGATTCAAATTATTGGAATAACTTCTTCATTCTTCTCAATCAGAATATTTCAAGATACGGTATGGGTGTTATTTGGCTCATAGGAAATTTTGGATCAACTATTAATTGCTTGATTTTTTGTCAATCAACTCTACGCAAGAATTCATGTGTCATGTATTTTCTAGCTTCCAGTATTTCTCAATTTCTAACTTTTAATTTTGCTCTTCTCACAAGAATGCTTCAATATGGTTATACTATTCAAACAGTCAATACTGTTGTCTGGTTTTGTAAAATTCGCTATTATTTGTTCTATATTTGTGTTGCTATACCACGTTATTTGATTATTTTGGCATCGATTGATCGTTACTTGGCAAGTTCTTCTGATATTCAGCGACGCCAATGGAGCACACCTAAGATTGCTATACGATTGATTATTGGCAATGTTTTATTTTGGTGTGTAATTTACATTCAAATTCCTATTTTCTATGAAATTCATAATGGTGATTGCTCATTCAGAAAAGGTGTTTATGGCATATTCTTTTGTATCTATTTATTAATTGAAAGTGGAATATTTCCACCATTGATGATGATTATTTTCGGACTTCTTACACTCAATAATATTCGAAGAAGCAAACGAACGATAAGACCATTACCAATAGTTGATATTATTCAACTTTCACAATTTCCTGTAATGTCAAGAAAAGATTTACTAATTTCTAAAATGTTATTTAATCAAATATGTCTTTGGATTATTTTGAACATGTTCAATCCTTGTTACCTTCTTTATAGAACAATAACAATTTATGATAATAAATCATCTCTTCGTTTAACAGTTGAATTATTTCTTAACAATATGAGTTATTATTTTATTTATCTTGAATTTTCTTTAACATTTTTTGTGTATACTTTATCGTCACCATTATTCAGACGTGAATTTAAGAAATTAATTCGGAAGAAATTACTGCATCGCTTTCCAATAAATATGATCCCTAGAAATACCACATAAATCGAGCAATTCTCAAAATCATTGAATTATTGTAATTTAGTTATAAACTCTATTTAAATAATAGTTTATTGCATTGTCTTTCTTTGTTTGCTTTCATTTCTTTTCTGCCTCGTATATTTATCTAAGATTGTGTATTGAAATATTCGAAGATAAAAAATAGTTACATTGATGTCAATTCAAATTTATTGTAGCTTCAAAATTTAAAATGATATAATAAAGTATGAGACAATACGAATTGTTCTTCTTAATTAATGGCTGGGTGATAAACATAATATAGGTATATTCAATGTCAAAACTGATATATCTAATGGCTAATTAAATTCGAGAAGACAACCTATTAGTTAATGAATCATGACATTGACGACAAAAACAAACTTATTGTGACATATAAGTTAGTAGACAAATACTTCATTAATAGTAATCAGCCTTCGTCTATAATAAGAATCTTTGGAAAAAAAGATTTCATTACATATTGAAATATATTTAATTAAGAAATACTTCGAAACTAAAAAAAATGAATTTTCTACTATTTTCTACGAAGGATATCTTAGGTCAAGATTCGAGTATTTCCTGAAAGGATTCGCTGCAAACAGTTTTATAAGTAGAAATTAACGAGCTCTATCCCAGCACACCTTTCATTTTGCTTCAGCTCCTCCCCCCCTCAAACCAATGAAATCTCAAAATACCATCAAAAAAACGTTGAAAATGCAGTCACTTCCCGAATAATCCGTAGCGATCCACCCATGAGTACTTTCCAAGTAGATCTCGACGAGCTCTATCCAATGCACGCATCATTTCCTCGGTTCGATAACTCCATCGTGGAGATACGTGCTAATTACTGCTTAATTAGTTAATTTTTTTAATTAAACCCCTCGCAACTCGCTCAGGAGTGCTCTCCAACAAACAGACATATTATGGGGAGGGGAGCATCGAATCAAGCATCAAAGGTGTGCAATCGATAGAGGTTGTCGAGATCGACTTGGAAAGTTGCATGTTCTACTTGGAAAGTACTCCTGGGCGAATCGCGACAGGTTATTTGAGAACTGACTGCAGGGGGGGGGGGGGGGGGGG